TGCACAACTTCATGATGGATACACAGCTGACAAAGCGGGTAAGACCCACTCCTCATCCTCATCAACCGTGGGACCAGCCCCTTCTTCCATCCCTGATCCTGGTGCTCCGCTGCTTCTAGGTGAAAAATGCTGCTGCCAACGTACTCAGGGAAACGTGGCTCATCTACAAACACACCAAGCTGGTGAAGAAGATCGACCATGCCAAAGTTCGGAAACACCAGCGTAAGTTCCTCCAAGCCATCCATCAGTAAGTGCCAAACCTTTACCTGCTTCCTACCAGGAGATTTTTCGCAGTGGATCCAGGCACTTCCTTCCCTGGATCCTGGGGTTGGGAGCCAGGTTGTCCCTTGTCCCCATCCCAGCTGTGGGATGCTTTCCCAAGGGGTTTGGGATGTGGATGGTGATGCTGGGGTGACCCCTGAGGTGCCCGGTGGTTGGGGATTGATGTGTCTGTGTTCACCAGGGAGCAGAGCTGGGGGCTGTGAGCCTCTGGGTGCCTCCTGCTTTGGGGGGGAGGGGGATTGAGGGGTGCTCAGCTTGGGGGGGGACACTGCGGGGAGGCCCGCGCTGCGTCTGCTGTCGTCTCCCTGTGCTCTTCGTGGTGGTATTAAACCTGCCGTTGTGTTTTGTCTCTGTTCTGCCCTGTCCCTGCAGAGCTCAGAAGTAAGTTCACCCCGCGGGGCTGCTCCTCTCCTCTGGCTGCTCTCCCTCTGCATGGGCTCCTTGCTGCAAAATAACTTGGGGGGGGGGGGGGGGTATACAGCAGCACAGCTTGTGTGGGGTGACGATGGAGGCTGTGCTTGTGGCAGGGTGCGGGCTGCATGTTGGGGTGCTGCAGGGGATGTGGGCTCTATGGGGGTGTCGCTGCCCTTAACCCCGCTCCCCTGTGTCTCTGCAGGTTGAGGAGCGTGAAGATGGAGCAGCGGAAGCTCAACGACCAGGCCAACACGTTGGTGGACCTGGCGAAGGTGAGTGATTATGATGGGGTGGCATCTGCAGGGAACCCACTGCTGGGGAGGGGCCTCCCAGTGCTTACCCTGCGACCCCCATCTATTCCCCTCTTAGACCCAGAACATCATGTACGACATGGTCTCGGAGCTGCAGGAGCGCCACGAGGACCTGGAGAAGCGCTTGGGTGCCCTGGAGAGCAAACTGGAGGCGCTGGGGCTGAGCCTGCGAGCGCTGCCGGCGCTGGTGAGCCAGGCGCTGGGGCAGCAGCAGCGCGAGCTCCTGGGGAGCTGGACCCCCCGGCTCTGCCCCGCCACTGCCCCCTGCACCCCAACGCGGGCCCCCCGCGCCCCCTCTACCGCCCCCCCCACCTCCTCGGACAGCGGATGATGGGGTGCAGGACACACACACACACACAAGCGGGGCCCCTCTTTATGTCTTGGCCATCGTGTGGCTGATTTCAGTAGCTTTGTTCTGTAAAGCTCTGTATAAATTTCCTGCGTTCACTGTGCTGGCGTGAGGCTGGAAACCCCCCCCCCCGGACCACCCCATGGCCAGCCCCAGCCGGATGGGAAGTGAGCCCTGACCTCCAAGGAGGGCTCGTACTGGGGGAGGGCAGGCAAGGATACAGGAGTTGCTGTGCCAGGGGTGATGAGCATCCCGGGGGGGGAGGGGGTGATGGAGCTGCTCGGGGGGGGGGTCGGGAGCAGCCCTGGGAGGTGATGAAGCAGGCATTGGGGGAATGGAGCATCTCTGGGGGGACAGGAGCAGCCCTGATGGGGCAGAAGCAGGCCGGGGGAGGGATAGAACAGCCCGGGGGGGGGGGCAGGAGCTGGCTGGGGGAGGGTAAGAGAAGGGGGGGTTGTGAAAACAGGAGCCCTGAGCGTTCGGGGGGTTCTGGGGGCTTCTCCTCCCGGTCTGGGGGGCTGGATGCTGGGGACAGAGTGGGGGACACCGGGGGTCTTGTGTGGAGGGGGAGGCTGAGCCCATGGTGAGGGCAGGGCTGAGCTTTGGGGGTGAAGGTTCCGGGGGAGGGAGACTCTCTGTTCCTGGCTCTGCCACAAAGTGACTTTGGCAAAGTCACATCACCTCTCTGTGCCTCAGTTTCCCCCATCTGTAAAGTAGGGGGTGGAAGGGAGGGGGGGTCACAATGGGAGCTACCGTTGTACGGTGCTGGGAGCTTCCTGGATGCAATATTGAGCCCAGCCCCTTGCACTGGGGTGGGCCAAGACCCCCCATGGCTCTAAATCCACCCCCACCCCCCCCACACTACCCAGCTGGCACCCTCAGTTTTGTGAGGCCCAGGGAGGGGGGGGGGGCGAGGTGCACATTAAAGGAGGCTGAACTGGATGCGTCACTCTCTGCTCACAGTAGGGGGGGACCAGGGTGGGGGGCATGCTCTGGGGTGGGTCTTTGCAGCCCCCCCCCCCCTCTGCAAAGGGGTTCCCCTGCTGGGAACCTTGGAGGGTGAGATAGGGCTGACACGGGGGGGCTCCAAACCTCCCCGGGGGTGCACTGGGGGAGCTTGCACCCCCAGCTTGCACTGGGGCAGGTTGTGGGGAGCTCAGAGCAGCGGGTGGGGGAGTGGTGATGGGGCCGTGTTGAGGTCCCGGGGCTCCCCCTTTGCAAAGCCGAACCTGGTGCGGGGGTCCTGCAGAGGTGGGTACAGGAAGTGGCCCCCGGTGGGGCTGTACCGGAGCCGGGGCGGTTCCAGCCCCGCGGTGCGCCGGGGGTGGCCCATTGCTGTTAATGTTTAACGCCGGTGCCGGGCCGCGGCGGCCGCGGGACGTCGCGGTGACCCCCGGGGCCGGATCCCACCATGGAACGGGCAGGTAACAGCGGGGGCTTGGGGGCTCCATGAGGTCCTGCGGGAGGTGACATGGGGACACGGAGCCTGGGAGTGACAGCGGGGTCTGCCTGGAACGGGCCCGGCAAGCATCCACAGCGTCCTTCGGTGGTGGTGGTGGTGGTGAGGGACCATTCCCCACCTAGAAGGGCTCAAGCACATCCCTGCTCCTGCTCACCCTGGGTTTCCAGGCTGAAGCTCACAGCAGGGGAGGTGACATCCCCCTTCAGTGGCCACTTTTAAGTCCCTGGTGAGCAATGGGGAAAGGGCAGCAGGGGCTGGGCAAATGGCCCCACAGGGGAAACTGAGGCACGCAAAAAGAGTTGGTAACACCACGATCTGTGTGGTCTTGCCATGGGGTTTGGTCCCATCCCTGCTCATCTCAGGGCTTCTCCTCCAGCGGGGCTCAGCCCGGATACAGGGAAGCGAAGCAGCCACCGGATGCATACAGGGGACCCCCAGCGCCCCAAATCCCCTGGGAGCCAATGGCCAAGGAACCGGGTATGGAGCCCTGACACTGGGCTAGAGGCATTTGGCTTCATCTCCATCAAGTCCCATCTGGGGGTTCGTGGAGGCTGGGGGCAACCTGGCTGTTCCCCACCATCCTCCTGGGGCTGGGGGGCACTCCTGGCTCTCAACAGGCTCCTGTGCTTCCCATTCCTGGCAGTGGCAGTGGCAAACACCAGCACCGTCACCCTCGGGGGCCTGCACCATGGCCCCCTCCTCACCAGCATCACCTGCCTGGCTGAGGCCCCGCTCATCATCCTCACCCTCCCAGCACCACTCTGCCCGCTCCTCAGCCTTGTGCCGCTCCAGATGGGGAAGCACCGGGATGTCCTTGGGAGTCGTGCCACCACCGGGCGTGGGGACAGCACCGGGTGATCCCCCCCTGCACCCCCCACCACGGCGGCCGTGCAGCCTCACCCCCCTCCCTGATGTTCTGAAGCCTCCGGCAACCCACCCCCGGCGCGTCACCTTCGAGGATGAGGTGGTGGCATCAGAGAGACCCACGGAGAGCATCTCCTCTGCCAAGGGCCGGGAGAAGCCAGGGCCCAGCTCTGTCCCACCCGGACGGGCACCTCGGCCACACGCTCTCCCAGACTACGTGGTGTAAGTGACTCCTGTAGGGATGGGAATGGCCACAGGACCCTGGGGAGCTGCAACACCCTGAGCCTCATGTCCTTGTGGCCATGCAGAAGGTATCCGGCGATCCGAAGCTCCCAGCAGCGGGAAGGCTACAAGGGCGTCTTCCAGGATCAGCTGTGGGAATACATAGATCTGCTCTGGGAGATCCGCAGCACGCTCCCCAGGGAGCTGGAAGCCAGCAGCACTGGCAAGGCACCAGCAGCACAGGGGGCCCATTGGGTGTGTTGAGTTGGGACATCTCTGCAGGGTGGGGATGATCTTGGGGGGTGCAGTGGGTTGGGGGGTTGGAGGTGACTTGTAGACATACACGATCCTGCACCAGCAGTGCTCCAAGGGAAATGAACTGCTGGGAAATGAAGGAGCCGGAGCAATTCTGGCTACGCCTGGGGTGAGGTTCTCACTCCTCAGCTCTCGTACCCCGTTAGGGCCCTGCTCCATCAGGCCAAGCCCCCAGGGCTCCCGGATGTGTCTTTGCCCCGCAGGATGGGAGCAGGATGGCCCATGTCTTGCATGAGTACATGAGGAAGAAGGTAAACAGGGGAAGGGCTCATGATCTATTCCTGCAAGCCCCATGGTGTTTCTCCCCATTCCCCACTGCTTGAGGGGCATCCCCAGGGCATGGCAGGACCCTGGTGCCAGGGCATGGTGCCGGGTTCCTCCTGGCTGAGCACAATTCATCAGGATTGGGCCTTCCTGGCCAAGCAGCAGCGCTGCGAGTACCTGAAGCAGAAGCTGATGCACATCAAGGCACGGATCCAGGAGTATGACCGTGACTGCGCTGGAACCTTCTGAGCTTCCGCACTGACACCGTGGTACTGGCACCGGGATCCCAGGGGGGACCGCAGGGGCTGGGTGCTGGGGAACGGGGTGATGATGCTGCAATTGCACCCACCTGGGCACTGAGGTGAACCCAGGGCTCCCCGTTTTGGGGTCCTTTGGGTGCTCTGTGCCCTTAGGGAGCCCCAGGAACCGGGTAGGCGCTGCCTGTTCCTGTGTGGGATCCAAGCCCTGGCTGCACCCTGTGTGATTTGGGGGGGTTGGGGGGGGGGGGTGTAGACCTGGGTTTAATAAAGCACAGTGATGTTTTCAGGGGGGTCTTGGTGCATCCCCAGCCCTGCACTCATAGGACCCTTCTGTCCCCCAGCAAACAACGGAGGGGGGAAGAGCCCAGACCCCCAGAGGGCCCCAACCCGGGGTGCCACCCCCGGCACCCCCCGTGTCGGGCTCCCCCTTATTTCACTCCGTGCACTTTAACCACCCTCCCGCGGGGCCGCAGCGCTGGGAACGGGCGCAGGGAGCTGGGGGCGGCCCCTGGGGCTCTGCCCTCCCCCCCCTCCCATCGCACCCCTCCCCGGAGGCGGAAACCAGGGCCGGGCCGGGCCGGGGCCGGTCTCCCGCAGCGCCCGGCGCCGCTCCCGGCTGCCATTTTAAGGTGAACAAAGAGGCGGAGGCGCGGGCAGGTGAGTGGCTCCGTGTCCGACGGGACCCCCGCTACCGGCACCGGGAGCGGCAGCGGGGGGCGAGCGAGTTCGCGGTACCGGAGGGCGCGCAGGGGGGCTCCCCGCTCCCCGCCGTGCACGGAGGGAGGGTCCTGCCTTCCCCCCTGCTCCTGCGCGCACCGCGGTGCCCAGCGGGCTCCACACCGGGACCACGGGCCCCACCAGTAGCTGCACCGGGGTCCCCACTGCTACCGGGGTTCTCAGCGGATCCCCAGCGGTACCGACACCGGGGTCTCTACCGCTACCGGGGTCCCCACTGACATCGACGTCCCCGGGATCATCACCGGACTCTCCCCCGGTACCGGGGCTCCCGCAGCCCCGGCGGATGGAAGGCGAGAGGCGGCGGCTCCTCGCAGGGGTCGCTGTCCCCGCCCGGTGCCCCTTCAGCGGGGAGGGGGCTCCCAGAGCCCCCCGTCCCGTGTCCTTCGCACCGCCACCGGGTTGCTTCGGGTCGCCGCGTCCCCATTACCGCTCCGGGAGCCTGAGACCCTGCGGTTCTGCTCGGGGTCGGGGTGGTGGTCCTCGCTGCTGCCGTGAGCTGGGGCGGGGGTCCCCCGGGACCGAGACCCCCTGAAGCCGTGTTGGGGGAGCTGCTGTCCGAACCCCCGAAGCCCACCCTTGCTGTGGGTCAGTGGGTGCCACCGCGCAGCCCACCCCTAATCCAGGGGCCTCATCCTGCGCCGTCGGGGTTGAGTTTCTCACAGGGATTCAGGTTTCTCCTGCTCCATGATGGGGTGGCTGGGTCGGGGGGTCTCTGCACTGAGGGGGGTGTGTGTGTGCATCGATTTGAAGGGAAACCTTCCCCAAATCTTTGAGAGCACTTTTCTGCTTTTCGCTGGGGTGTTGCTAATGTGTATTTCTTGTTATTGTTTAATCCAGTGGATCTGCTTACGGAGAGAGCCTCAGGGTTAGCACTGCCCTTCAGTAAGAGCTTTTCTGGTTTAATTAGACCTGGAACAATCCACTTTATTCAGATGGGGTCTGGTGGTTGGGGAGTCGAGGCGGGGGGTTAGGGCTGGTGCATGGAGCAGGGCTGGGCTGTGGTCGGGCAGCTCTGCTGGGTGATGCTGGCTGAGTCACTTCTCTTGTACCTCAGTTTCCCCACGAGCCACCCTGACTGGTGGGGCTGGACGCGGGCGGGTGTTGACGGTGCCGTTGGGCTGGTGACGGGGACCAAAGTCCCCATCGGGGGTGCAGAGACACCCGTCAGTGCTGCCTCGTGCTGCCCTGGTGCGCAACCAGCTCCCATGGCTCTGTCCGTCTCCCCACCAGGCTTTTCTGAAGCATGAAGACCTATGACAGCCCCCCCACGGGCTACGGGCCCCCCACGGGCTACGGGCCCCCCACGGGCTACGGGTCTCCCATGGGTGATTATGGCAACGGCACCGGTGCTCGCTCTCCCCCACCGGGCTCCTACTACATGGAGGATGTGCCGCAGCACTTCTACAAGTGGAGCTCGCCACCCAGCGTGGTGCGGATCCTGGAGGTGGTTGTCATCCTGCTCTGCATCGCCATCTTCGCCTGCGTGGCCTCCACCCTGGCCTGGGAGTATGGCTATGGCTACGGCGGGCTCTATGGCAGCAGCTTGGGGGGCTTCTATGGCTCCGGCTACTACGGCAGCGGATTAAACTATGGCTACGGCTACGGGAGCTACTATGGCGGCGTTACCAACCCACGAACAGCCAACGGCTTCATGATCGCCATGGCCGTGCTGTGCTTCCTGGCACAGCTGGGGCTCTTTGTGGCCAGCATCAGCAAATCACACAGCTCCCGCTCCCGCCGCTTCTACCTGGTGGTGATCGTGGCCTGCGCCGTGCTGGCCTTCCTCATGCTCATCGCCTCCATCATCTACGTCGTCGGCGTCAACCCCCAGGCGCAGATGACCGGCAGCTACTACTACAACCCCTTGCTTACCATGTGCAACCAGATCTACAGCAGCGGCACCTACCTGAACCAGTACCTCTACCACTACTGCACCGTGGACCCCCAGGAGGTGAGGAGGGGCCCCTCAGCTCTGGCCAGACCCCCCTCTTTCCTTGCTCTGCTTCAAGCGTGATGCTGAGGAAGGCCAGGGAGGGCATCGGTGACCACAGTCCTGCCCTTGGAACGGGTGCACAGCTGGGGGGGTTCCCGTGATGTCTTTAGTGGGTTTGGTGGCTGCAGAGTGCAGGGGGAAGCTGCTGGGACTCGACCCCAGCCTGGCCCTTTGCCACCAGGGAGTTTCAGGGAGGGGACGGGCTGTTGTCCCGACACAGACCGGGCGTCTGGTACTTTGGTCTCCTCGGTTGTAAACGTGTTTGAGCAAGGCTGGGTGCTGGCTCAGGCTGCCAAGCAGGGTGCCAGCTCTCCCCAGGCACCCCTGATGCTGCCGGCTTGTCTTGGGAGCCCTAAAAGGTCAGTGGGGCAGTGTGAACCCTCAAAACCAAGCTCCTGAGCCTGGGTTTCGGCTGGGACCAGTGGGGATGCTGCACGGCACATGGGCTGGGTCTGGGGCTGCCGGTTCCCATCTGGCTGGGCTGGCTGTGCCACATTCCTGCATCCTGAGCATGGGGAGCTGAGGAGCCTGCACTGCTCCTGCTCCATGCAAAGGCCAAGTGTGGCCTAACTCGTCCTCACCCAGCCCCGGTGCTGGTGCAGCTCCAGGGATGTGGCTCATGGGAAAGCATTGGGGCAGGGATCCTTCTGCTCCTGAGCCCAAAACGTGTTCTCTTCCCATGGGGAAATCTGGTGCCAGAAGCTCCTGAACCCTTGATGGGCTCCATCCTGGCTGCCCAGTACAGGTGGGTTCTGCCCCTCTGCTTCCACCATGGCAGGGGATCCAACAGCAGGAAGATTTTGGGATGAGGGGAGCAATTCCCACTCAGCCCAGGGAGGAGCAGGTTACTCAGACCCTGCGATGGGGTCTTCACAGCCGTCCCCTTCTCTGCACCCGTTCAGGCCGTGGCCATCGTCTGCGGGTTCCTCATCGTCATCCTGCTCTGCCTCATCTGCTTCTTCGCTCACAAGACACGGAGCAAGATCTGGAGGTACGGGAAGCAAAATATCTACTGGGACAAGGTGCCGGTGGTCCCGGAGGGTCCCAACGTGGAGGAGTGGGTGAGTCCCAGCATGGGCTGAGGATGCTGTTGGGTACCTGGGGTAGGGTACCCTGTATCTCCCCATGAGCATCCTCCCTACCTGCCCTTCCTCAGCGGGGCCTGAACGTGCCCAGAGCAGTGTTGGGTTGGGGATCCTGGGGCTGTACTGAGCCTGTGCCATTCCCTGTTCCCAGCCTGGACACAGCTTTGTGACTGGAGTCTTTGTGCCCAGTGCTGGTGTGCTTGCTCTGGGTACGGTGTTATCGCTGCTAGTGCGATGCTGTGCTTGGTGCTCACCAGGTCCGTCCCTGCCACCCCGTTGGGGTGCTGTGTCTTTTGCCAACTGGTTCCATTCCCCAATGGCACAATGAGGCTTTGAGCTGGACTCAACCTCCCTGAAAGACAAACAGGGTGTGATCTGATGGGCGGGGTGCCAGGAACACGGTGCTGAGGCTCTGGGTCATAGAATCATGGGATGGTTTGGGTGGGAAGGGACCTTAAAACTCCTCCAGCTCCAACCCCTGCCACAGGCAGGGACCCCTTCCACTGGAGCAGCTTGCTCCAAGCCCCTGTGTCCAACCTGGCCTTGAACACTGCCAGGGATGGGGCAGCCACAGCTTCTCTGGGCACCCTGTGCCAGCGCCTCAGCACGCTCCCAGGGAAGAGCTTCTGCCTAAGAGCTCAGCTCAGTCTCCCCTCTGGCAGGTTCAAGCCATTCCCCTTGGCCTGTCCCTACAGACCCTTGTCCAAAGCCCCTCTCTGGGTGCCTTCCTCGCCCCGTGCTTGAGGACACCAGCCCTGAGTCGCTGCCCCGCGGCACCCTTTGGTTTCAGTCACGGCAATGATTAACTCTGCTCTGTGTGGTTGTGCCGCGGAGGACACGGTGGCTTCGTGGCACCCAAACCAGCACTGTTGGGACTCCAAAGCCTGTGTTCCTTGGGTGGGGGACCCTGGGGAGGTGCCGGTCCCAGCCCCACTGTGTACTGGGACATGCCCCATCCCGTCCTTGCTCTAGCTCCCAGAGCTGGTGTCTCTGCAGGGCGGCTGCAGGAAGCCTGCAGGATCCATAGGGAAGGAGACCCCAGAGTACAGCTCCCAGGGTGCTGCCCAAGCCCTGTCCCCATCCCATCCCTGGGATGACCTGGGCACTGGGTTTCCCACCGGAGCCCCAGGTTTATCCCAACACTTCAAAGCAGAACTGGAGCTGAGCTCATAGCCGCTGGTCCTGGTGCGTGTCCCTGTGCCTGCCCCTGCTGCAGCTCTCCTTTATTGTTCATGCTGCAGAAATACCTTTTGTTTGCATTTATTTGTTCGGATTTATTTGTTTTTCTCCATGTCCCTCCCTTGCAAAGCATTTCCTGGCTCATGGGGGGGAGCAGAACCCGAGCACCCCCTCCCCTGCCCTTTGGGTTGTCCCCACTCTGCCCAACGCCGCCCTCCCACCGGTCACACATCCCCACTCCTAGGGATGCAGCAGTGGGAAGGCACCGGGGTGTGAAACCCTCCTGGGACACCTTGTTCCCTGTTTGTGGTTGGGACCGAGATAAAGGGGGGACTTTTGAGCCTTGTCCTGCTGTGGCACAGGGGCATGGCTGTCCCCAGGCCAGCTCCACCAGGCAGAGTGGGGACAGGGCCCCCAGTTAACTGTGTCTTCGATAGGGGGAAACACAGGAGGAAGCGACTTTGCCGGACGGAGCTGGCGGTGACGTCCCCAGGGCCGCTGTCCCGGGCAGGGACCGGCTTCCGGCACAAACAACCCACAAAGGGCAGGAAGGAAGCGGGAGGAGGGACACGCGGACACCCCATGTCCTCCTTGAGGAGCCCTGGCCGTGCTGGGGCAGCAGCGGGGGGCCTGGGGGAGGTGATGCTGGGTGAGGTGGGAATGCAGCCCCCTGCAGAGCCTGGCGGGGTCACGCTGGGGGTGCAGAGCTGGGTGTCCATCTGCCACCATGTCCCAGTGGGACTCCCCTGCGTGTGACTTTGCCCGCTGGGGTCTGTGGGCCCTTCTCCTGCAGCCTCCCCCTTCCCAAACGATGCTCTATGGGGCTCCCCCATCCCTTGCCCCCCAACTTTTGCTCTGCATAGCTGTGTAGGACACCCCATTGCCATGGCTTATCCCCCTGCCACAGCTGCTCCGGGGTTTCTGGGATGGATTCCGATGTCTCCATGTGCCACATCCCAAGTGTCCCCCCATCCCATCCTGACACTTCTCCCTGCTGCAGGTGAAGAACGTGGCAGATGGGACCAGCGTGCAGGACGAGACCGCCACGCTCGCCTACTCGGAGAAGCCAATGAGCCCCATCACTGCGCTGCCCTACAGCCCCCCTGCATACAGCTACAGCCCCCAGGACAGGTTGTGCCCCCCTGGCACCTACAGCACCCACGGGTGAGCAGCCAAGTGGGGAGCTCTGGGGTGCGGGGAGACCCTCGAGGTTGGACAGAGCCTTGGGTGATGTGAAACTGGATGAGCTTAAGGTCCTTTCCAACCCAAGCCATTCCCTGGCCTGGGCGCTGGCTGATGTCCCTGTGTCCCCTGCAGTGACCAGCTGGACAAGGGGCTCAGCCCCAGTGTGCCGGAGGAGAAGTCCAGCAGAGCCCCTGCGCGCCGTGGGCGCCGCCGCCGCCGCCACCCTGACCTGGAAGACTCCCAGTATGAGACCGACTACACCACAGCCGTGGAGTCCGGCGACGAGCGGGACCAGGAACAGTGGGAGAGGTAAGGCAGGACCCCATGGAGCACCCCAACCTCCGAAGCTGCCCCCTCTAGGGCCTGACCCTGCCCCTCTCTGCAGCCTCTACCCACCCATCACCTCGGACGGCACCCGGCAGAGGTACAAGCAGCAGTTTGACACGGACCTGAAGCGCTACCGGCAGCTCCGCGCCGAGGTGGACGGGGTCAGCGACCGCATCAACCAGCTCAGCAAAGAGATCGACAGCATCTCTGAGGACAGTCCCCAGTACCAGGTCTGTGGGAGCCACAGGGATGCTGCTGGGACACTGTGGGGAGGCAAGGGATGGATGCCAGGGAGCATCTGGGATGCTGCAGGGCATTGGGGATGAATGCTGCAGGGCCTCAGGATGCTGTGGGGCACTAAGGATAGATGCTGTGGAGTATCTGGGATACTTCAGGGCATTGGGGGTGGATGCTGTGGGGCCTTGGGATACTTTGAGGCATTAGGGATGCTGCAGGGAAGTCCCATGGGAGCACCCTTGTGCTGGGCAGTTGTGACCCCCACCTCCTGCCTGTTCCCTTCACAGGATGTTGCTGAGGAGTACAACAGGCTGAAGGACCTACAGTGGGTGAGTGCAGGGAATCCTGGAATGGTTTGGGTGGGAAGGGACCTTAAAGCTCCTCCAGCTCCAACCCCTGCCCCAGGCAGGGACCCCTTCCACTGGAGCAGCTTGCTCCAAGCCCCTGTGTTCAACCTGGCCTTGAACACTGCCAGGGATGGGGCAGCCACAGCTTCTCCACTCAACCCATCCCAGTGTCCCACCACCCTCTTAGGGAAGAACTTCCCAAGCTCTCCCCTGTTTCTGTGGGGCTGGGTTGGTGCAATGCAGGTGGGGAAGGTGGAAGCTGTGCCCCCCTTCCCCTCGTCCCCCACCACTGAAGCTGCTCCTGTGCTGCCTTCCAGAGCCCTGACTACCAGGCAAAGAAGCTGGAGACCAGAACCCTCCGCAACAAACTCTTCCACATCAAGCGGATGGTGAAAGCCTACGACAAGGTGCGAGGGTAGCCTGTGCCACCCCCAGCACCACCACCGCAGGATGGGCTTGAGGGGGCTCCCCATCCACCCCCCAAAGGGTTTTGGTGCCTTTTGTACCTTTGTTTCTATTGACAAAATCCAAAGCCACCATTCAAAGCCACCCCATGATGCTGGTGCCAAGGGCGCTGGGGCTGCTGGAGTGCCCCCTCCATGCTCCCCCCACTTCTTGTGCCTTTGGGGCTGTGGGTCCCCTCCTGCTGTTGTCAATATGTCGGGGGGGGGGGGGGGGGGTTGCAGCCCCCATCTGTCTCTGCCAGCACCAGGGTCTGGGTACCAAATGTGGCTGCAGCCCCACAGGGATGTGCTGGATGGAGCTGAGCATCCCTCAGTGGGGCTGTTGGGGGGCAAAACCCCACATTCCCTGAGCCCCCCCTTTAGGCAGGGATCATCTTTTATAAGGAACTGGCTGAAACTGTGTAATTTTCTTTTTTAATATTAAATAAATTGTATCTATTGATTTTAAATCAGTGCTGGGGTGGAAGGGGCAACAGCAGGGCTTGGGGGGGATGCACCTTGAGAGGGGAAACACCAACCCAGCCCCCCCCCAAACCTAAGTACAAACCTCTGTGCTGGCTGCTGCTTTCCTGATCCTGGTCTTCCCCAACAGGATCCTTTGGGAAGAAAGGATCCTGGGTTGAACTTCACCGAGAAGCCCCCTGCAAAGCCCTGGTGTTTCCAAACCCCATCCCATTTTAGGTGTCTTATAGTGGCTTTGGTATGGGGTGGGGGGGCTCCATCTCCCCCATTACCCCAGGGTGGACTACAGCCTCGCAGCAGGATCAGCCCCTCTGTTGTAAGAAACATCTTTTATTGACTTCATTTGTTAAGTATCATTGAACAAGGGTTATATTTGCAGTGAATCAATCTAAACGACAACTCCTGCGGCTACTCCTGCCTCCAGCTCCTGAGAAGCAGAGCCCTGGGGGGCCACACACACCCCCAGCCCCCCATGGCCTCTAATCGTGCAGCCATGGGACCATGCGGGATCAGAGGCCATGGGGCATCTCCATCTTTACAAGGTGGCTCTGCCCCCACAAGTCCCTTCCTCTACTATGGCTCAGCCCTGGGGACAAAGACCCCCACAGCAGCATCACCCCTTCTGTCCCCTCCCACTGTCTCCTTTCCTCCCCACACTTGGCTTAAAAAGTAATAATGAGGCCCAGGGATGTAGCGAGCGTGGGGAGGGGGCTGCTGGCCCCCATCTCCCCCAGTGTGGGGATGGTGGTGGGTGCTGGATGTGGCCCAAGGGGTGCGTGAAGCACCAAGCGCGGCAGCAGTGAATGAGCCCTGCATGGTGCCTGGACCCCATCAGCCACCCCTGTGCCCCCTTCTCCTCCACTGTACCCCCAACCCCTCCCCATGCCCCAACAGTGGAGATGCCTCTGTGGAAAGTGCCAGGGGGTTGTGGGGGGCTGGAATTTGCACCAGGCATGGGCAAGCCCAGTCCCCAAACTGGGGCTCCTCCAAGCTCAGTGTTTCAGTCCTCGGGCTGGGCACATGTTGCAGGGCACAAAGGGGTTTAAAATAACCCTTTTTCCATCACTGCCAGCACTGGAGGGTGGGGAGGGAACAAAGGGGGTCCCCACAGCAGACAGCCCTGTGCCGCCAGGGGACCCTCTGTGTGTCTGGCTGGTCCCACCTCCCGTCATCTTCTGTCCAAGCCTCCCACCATCTGACATTCAGATTTGGAGGGGCAGAGCAAGGGACCAGCCCTGGGGATCCTCCAAGGTCCCTGGGGGTTAGGACCAAGGCGCTGGGGAGCTCCGCTTCATGGGGTACAGAAGAGTTCAGTTTCCAGCGGTGGCAGCAGCGCCAGTACCTTCAGCTTTAGGAGGAAAACGCCGTGACCCCATTGCTTTTGGGGCGAGTGGCACCATCTCAGGGCATGGGAGGAAATCTGGGTCCGGCTGTGGGGTGTCTGTCCCCTACTGCCCTGTCCCATAGGGCCAGTTGAAGGTGCTCCCGGACAGCAGCATGTCCCTGATTAGTGTTTCGATGGGCGTCTTCCCCACCAGCCTCATGAAGAAGAGCTGGGAGATGAGTGCGGCCGGCACGGCGCGGAGAGCCGGGAGCCGCAGCAGCAGCCGCCCAAAGCGCTGCGGTTGCGATGGGTACTGCGCCCGCACGTACTCTGTGAGGGCCACCTGAGCCTTCTCCTGCAAGCTCTCCACATGCGCCGGGTCCGACAGGCCACAGGCATCTGCAGGAGGGGTGGGATGGAGAAGGGTCAGGGATCGGAGCCCCCACCCCGATACCCACAGTGACTCCCTCTCCTCAACCCGCTGCCATGGCCACGCTACTGCCCAGCTGCTCCTCACTGCATTAGGGCATGCAGCATGGGTCAAGAGCATGGCTTGGACCCCTCTGGCTGCAATGGGTTGCTGCAGGCTCATTCCCCCCAGGAAGCACCAGGCACAGAGATAGTAAGCATGGATGGGCCAAGGGACGGGGCTCCCCGAGATCCTCCCCCAGTGTATGGGGAGATATTTGTTTTCCTGCAGGTCTCATTCTCATTGCCCCGGGAAAGCTCATCCCTGCAGCTGGATGGGCAAGCTGGGGTGCTGCAAACCATGCTGGAGAAGTGCCAGGGCATGAGGACAAGGCCAAGTTGGACAGGGCTTGGAGCAAGCTGCTCTAGTGGAAGGTGTCCCTGCCTATGGCAGGGTGTTGGAACTGGATGAGCTTTAAGGTCCCTTCCAACCCAAACCATTTTAGGATTCTATGATTCTCTGGAGCCCAAAATCCCAAGGAAATAGGGGGCGGATGCTCCCTGGGGGGAGGGGCTCACCATGGGATCATGGCTCCAACCTACCTGGCGTGAAGAGCGCGATGGCTTTGAGGCAGCTGTACTCGGCTGAATCCACCTGGAGCCGGTTGAGCTTCTCCACCTGATCCTGGAAGATGCGGATCTGGTCCATGAAGGAGACAACGCGGTCGGCGGACATGGGGGAGGCATGGAAGCCGGCAGCAGCCAGCAGCGGGGCCATATGCAGCGGCAGCGCCGACTGCGCCGCGTTCAGGACAAAGAGCTCGCTCCAGCTCAGCCGCAGCAGCGCCACTTGGTCGGAGACGGGCAGCTCTGGGAAGAAGGGAATGTTCCGGGCCCATTCCACCGTGCTGAAGAGGAGGCGTGCGGCCAGCTCGCAGATGTTGTCGATACCCATGACGCTGCCCTGCTGCGCATACTGTGAGCCATAGCGGGCAGCAGGGTAAGGCTCAGCCCGCAGGAGCTGTGAGATGAGCTCCGACACCGGCTGCCCGTTGAAGTACTCCCCGCTGGGCAGTGTGTTGGGGCTGGTGCTGGAGTGGCTGGGGGGGATCCGACCCCGCTGCACGGCTGTGGGCAAGAAGAAGAGGTGTCTGCCTGCATCCCCCTGCCCCATGCAGGAAGCATGCAGGATGCTCCCAGTACACTCCAGCATCCCAGGTAGACCTCTCACCCACCCCGAGAACAAGGGGCAGCTTTCAGGCTCTGTCGGAGAGGGAGGTGGTGTGTGCCACAGGCTACTCCCACCACCTTAATCCATTTAACATCCCAGTGACTCACTAGTTACTCCCAGGGTGCCAGGGCTGTGGCTTGGCCATGGCCTCCCTGCCATGCCATGCCAAACTGGGCGTGCCATCAGCACTATGGCCCCCCGTGCCAGCTGCAGTTGCCACCCAAGGTCATCCCATGGTGGCAATCATTTATGTGCAACTAAAACGTCCATACTGGAAGCATTGTTAACCCCAGGGCACTCCCCCTCCTAATTGCATTCAGGGAGAGCCATTTCTCAGCTCCACCACCCCCCCCCCCCATTAGCGCCCACTATTTGCTCAGTCCCTAGTAATTAATTTATGGGCTGTTCATGAGCCACTTAAATGAGAGCTCTAAATCATGCTAAGTGGCAATAATGCCATCTCCACTCCTCTGGAAAGGAGGGAATTACTGTCCTGCTTCCAGTATCCTTCCCTCTGCTCCTCACATCAATGCCACCTGCCATGAGCAGAGCCCACGCCAAGCCCCACTGCGGCTCCAGCATCTCCATATGCCATGGCACAGCCACATCCTGCCGCCGGGATCTGAGATGTGGGGCTAAAGCCTTCATCCCCTTTACAGCAGCATTCAGGGTTCACACCCCCAAGGTGATGGGAAGCAAGGAAGCAGCCAGGGGATCAATGTGGCTGCACTGGGACCTCCACTGCGCCCAGGGCCGTCCTGGCTCCAGTGCGTCCCCTTATCAGCTCCAGCTTTTCCAAACAAACACCACCTGTGCTGCCCGCAGCGACTGGGAATCAAGGAGGCAGGGAAAAGACAAAAGGGGCAAATGGGGACTGGGGGGGGGGGGGAGGGGGATTGCTGCTAATGGGGGTCGCGGAGAGGTGGGGAAGCAAAGCAAGCACTGGGAGCCCTCGGGAAGCTTCCCCATCACTGCGGCACTGGCGTTACCTTCCTTCCTCATTCCCACACGGAAGCACTTCTTCAAGCGGCAGTACTGGCATTGGTTGCGGTGGTGCTGGTCGATCTGGCAGTCGCGGTTGGACCTGGGGGCAGGACCGAGATGAGGAGGTGCCGGTGAGGAACGATGCGATGCTGCTGTGGGGGGAGTCCCTGCACCCACCTCCCCAGCAGCTCAGGACAAAGCCCTTCGCCTCGGAGCGCGGCATCGGCCGTGGTTGTGCCACGGGCGCTCGCAGATGCTATGGAAACAGCGAGCTCCTACGGCAGGGGCTGCCCTTTCCCGTTGCCAGCGTTGCCCTGGGCTGCAGGGAAGCTGGAGACACCCCCGGGGCTGGGGAGCGATGCTCCCGTATCCGGGCAGCAACACCGCCTCCCCCCCCCCCGCCCCAGCCCCACCACCAGACATGTGAGGAATTCCAACTATTTCCTACCGGGTGGGTGCTGAGCCTGAGACCCCGGGTGTCCCCCACGGTGGTGGCCCAGCCCTGTATCCTCCATGAGGTCTGGCCTCAATCAGACCCAGTGTGGGGTCTCACCAAGCACTCTTGCAGCCTGATCAAGCCTGGGCAAGGAGCTGCAGGCACTGGGTAGCCCCGCACCATGTAGTGTGGCACCAGCCACCACCAAACCATCCACCGCCGCTCCTGAATGGCATCACCAGCATCCAACACCCCCCCACCCCACCCCCCCCAGCTCTGCTGCCCCCCACGGTCCTCACACGGCTGAGGGGTGCAGCGGGGCACCGGTGACACCGGGTGCTTACATCCCACATCCCTTTTCCTGGGGAGGGAAAGGGGAGTATCAGGAAACCAGGAATAAATGAAGGTGGTTTAAGCAGCATCAGGGAGGCGCAGGCAGGGCTGGGACACGTCCGGCAGCAGCTCAGACTCTGCCTGGGAATCCTGACACGAATCTCCTCATCCCTACACGACTCCAGAGGCGAGCCAGGCAGGGATTCCCACCGCTCTCCGACCGGAATTAATTCACCCCGAACATCACCGCTGCGCTTCGCGCAGCCTAAAA